GGTGCCACAGAACAGTCCAGTCATATGCATCCTATGATGCTGTCTGCAGTATACTTTTTAGAACATCTAGAAAACAGGAAGTGACTTAGTTATTGTCTCCCATTGGGTGAATGAAGGGGAAAATTAGAAACTAGTTGAGGAATTTTGTAGTAAATCTAAGGAAGGAATGAAAAGTAACATGGGAAGCCTGCACTGAAAGGGGGGCAGGCAGCTCTCAGTCAAGAGTGATAGGGAACTCCTAGAGAGAGGCAGGGCTGACTTGGCCCATCAAGAATGGGATGGGGGATACTTAGTGTGGTGGCACAGGCCATTGGTCCCAGCACTCTGTGAGACAGAGGCAGGGGGATCTCTTGAGTTCAAGGCCAGCCTGATCTACAAAGAGTTTCAGGATATCCAGGGCTACACAGAGAAACCCTGTCTTAAAACAAAATAAAACAAACAAATGGGGACTAGGTTTCTTTGTATCATGTAGACAAGGGTCCAGAATTAGTAGTATCAGTTGCACAGTCTTACAAATTACTAAAATTGACTGGGCTTGATACTTTGAAAGAGTGAGTATCATGGTATATTTACTATGTCTCAATTTCCAAACAGAGGTGGCCAGGTAACTGAACAGACAGAGTGGGCAGACACAGGTGCACTTGAGTTAAGAGTTATCACAGACTACACAGAAGTCTGCCCATCAGAAAGGTAACAAGCCAGCATGCCCAAGACATAAAAAAGGCAAGGAAGGTGGACAGCTTTGCAGACATGTGTGCACGCAGCCCAGCTCAGCTGAATGGGCTGGTGTGTCCATGACAGGAAATGCTTGAGCAGGCAGTGACTTTACAGTCACTCTCATTTAATGTGAAAAGAGGAGTGAGGAAGAGCCTCACTCTTAGACCATAAAATGCCAGCCTGGGCCTACGAAGCCTGAGCCAAAGCAAGACCAGTGCACAGAGAACACTGTGTGGGGAAAACAAGCCTGAATTCTGGACCCTTATCTCACAGGCTGGATACAGAGGAGCCCAGCCACCTTCCACTTCTGTCAAACAAAGAGAAATAGGAAGAATAAGGAAGCTGGCATGATTGAGAGCAAGGAGAGGCAGTGCTGTCTCTTTAAGAGGCTCTTTGGAGATGCTCAAGTGCAGAAAGCCTGGAGAACACAACATTGATTGGGAATGAGGTAACCACAAACACCACTGTCTCAAATGAAAAGGGATTCAAGAGCTGACCCAGAAAACAAGCATCGTAACCACCAGATGAAATTTTAATGATAAACACAAGATGTTCTGCACACAAGCAAGATGGCAGGGTCTCAGACTGAGCCATCAACTGGAGCATCTCTCACCGAGAGGAGCCGAGGAGCCTCTCTGACCTGCAGCTCAAGTTTCACACAATCGATCCCAGAACACTGGCATCGCTGGGCCTTTGGTGGCCTATCTAGTGCTGAGCAGATCCTCAGGGAGAGGAGGGGGAGGAGGCAGCTGCCTTCAGAGCTACTGGCCTGTGTCCCCTCTTGGAGATCCACGCAGAGATGGTCCTAACTGGACCTGGGGAAGCAGTGTCCTACATCTCTACTTTCCCAAAATTCTTAGTCCCAGCTCAGCATTAACCCCCCACCCCGGCACTGCCTTATGTGCTTAGGCAGAACCTTGAAGTCAGAACAAAGTGTCCCTGCACAGTCACCACCTGTCTTCAGACGTGGTTAGGTAAAGCCTTCACCATACCTCACGACAAAGCTGCAAGCTTGACAGCATCCTAACAGCCAGATGGATAGGTTACCAACTGGGATGTGAGAGCTGAGGGGTCTCTCTTGAGGATGCAAGGCCAGCGAACAAAGCTAAAGGAAGCTGGCCCTCTTGGCTAGATCCTCTTGAAACAGAAGGACCAGGGAGACCACTCAGCGGGTTAGGGCGTCTGCCACCAAACCTGACAACCCGTGTTGGATCTCTGAGACCCATACAATGGCAGGAGAAACAAATACTGCAAGTTGTCTTCTGACCTGTACACACGTACTATGGCACTCAAGCACCCATATATACACACAAAAACAAGTAAATAGATAAAGTGTAAGAAAAAAAACAAAACAAAACAAAAAAAAAAAAAACAATTTTTTTTTTTTTAAATGGGAGAGCTTGCCATAAAATACTTAGTAATCTATTTGGAATTTCAATTCAAACGTGCTTTAACTTTTTTTTTTTTTTTTTAACATTTCATTTAGCCCCATTCATCTGGGGTGCCATGGCACATATGGAGGTCAGACAACAACCTGCAGAAATTGGTTCTCTCCTTCCACTAACATACAATAAATGTGGGTTCAGGGTCACACTTGGGTATAGTCAGATCTGGTGGCAGTACTTTGACCCTCTGAGCCATCTTGCTGGCCTTCATGTGGTGCTTACTGAGGAATACTAAAGGAGAGAAAAGTTAAAGGAAAGGCTAGTGACTATTGGCTGTGTAGTCCAAGGTGGGTGCTTATTTCCGGTTTCTTCTAGGCAGCAGCCCTGAGGCAGCTCTCACAAAGCCAACAGGCCTGAAGCTCAGGGACTCCAACCTTGCTTTCTGGCACATAGCCTCACACAACAAAAGTATATAAAATTGATGTTTTGAGATATTAGTTCAAGAGATATCCTAACCCTAAAACGAAGTTGATCTTATTGTACAATAAAGAAACACATTTTCAGATCTCCATAGTAACAGCCATGAAGAATTCCTCATGGTGGGTTCCAGAACAGCAGCTGAAGGATCACAGAAACTTACTTTGAACTTCTCAGCCAGGAGACTCACAAATGCCTGGCTGCAGGTGAGGAAAAGAAGAGCTCGTGGCCAGTGCCTTGCTGGGAGTGAAGGCTGCAAACTGGAGAGTGAAGTGGGGGTCTGTGTGTGCCAACACTAACTGCCCCCACTCCACCTCTCTGTCTTCACGGACACCGAGACAAACAAGCACAGACCTGCTCCCCACAGCTCCCAACTGTGCAGCTGAAGCTGAGGTGGTCAGGCAGAGGGCAGGGGATGAAGATAAAGACTGAGTGAACACAAAGGTACATGACTTTGCTTACCCTGCGATGACAACGCCATCATGAGAGCGCACGTCACACAAAACAGCATCGGGAATGTGCTCCAGCTCGCTCACGGCACCTTTGCGATTCTGTGTGAGGAAAGGGGGGATGTGGTTTATACTATTCTTGGGGTATCCCCTAATAATGTGCTCTGCTCTCACATACATGGGGGAGCCATTTTCTGTGTTGTGGATCACACTCAACTCACTGGGCATTCAGAAGGATAAAACAGCAGTACCATGTATGGTGAGTCTGCCCAGATTAGCCTCTAGACCAGAGGCACTTCATGGAGCAGAGAACATGAAATGCTGGCCTGTCCCCAGAAAGTCACTAGGTAGGAAGAAGTGTGTATACATACAGTTAAGTGTCCTTGCACATGACAGGGCCTGAAGCAGTGCATCAAACACATTAAGCAGGTCAGGAGAGAGCACTTAGAGGATATATAAAAGAACTCCCAGAAGAAATTAAAACTGTCACAGCAGACATAGACAGGGGAAGGGCAGAGAAAATGCCATTCTGAGTAAGCGTCAGAATTCTCAAGAAAATGGTCTTACCCTAAAGTTGGGTTGTTCCTTGGGAACAGTAGGTGGGATGCTGAGAAGGTGGGAGGAAGCAGGTTCCAGCTGTGTGCCCTTGTGTGACTTCTGAGCTATTTCTCATGATCACTGAAACGTACTTTATATTGGTAAACTGTCAGGTGCTGTTTGAACTCAGAAAATGGAGAAGCTGCCTCTCCATTTTAGACTCAAGCATGGCCCTGGCTCCCTTTTGGGGAGAGGAAAAAACAGCAAGTAGCTAGGGCATTTAAAAAACTAGAAAAGAAAGAAAGAAAGAAAGAGAGAGAGAGAGAGAGAGAGAGAGAGAGAAAGAAAGAAAGAAAGAAAGAAAGAAAGAAAGAAAGAAAGAAAGAAAGAAAGAAAACTCATCCTTAAGCCAGGTATGGTGTTGCATAACTTTAACCTCAGCACTTGGGAGGCAGGGACAAGTGGCTCTCTGGGAGTTCGAGGCTAGCCTGGTCTGCATTCCAAGTTCTAGGACAGCCAGGATGACATGTAATAGACCTTGTCTCAAAAAAATAAAAACAAACCAACCTTTCATCCTTGAGTTCCAAGGAGTTACCAATTGCTATCTAGCAAACCTCTTCTACAAAGGTCACATAGCTGATTTTCCTATGGCATAAAAAAACCCTGGAAAAGAGAAGCTGGAAGCTCATTCTGGGCCAGCACTCTGATGGAAAGCTCACCCATGCAGACAGCATTCCCCCAGGAATCCCAGAGGACTGCCTCAATTTCCCAGGCCATTTCTGCCTGACATTTTATGCACAATTTGATGTCATTGCCTTTATTTGCTTTTTCCATCGGGCTACTCCAGTCATCTCTGCTAGATGAGCACCTGGCTTGATGTCCTGCTATCTGCTGCTTCTCTCTAACCACTATTTATTCCTCTATTACTTGCTATACACTTAATACATTTATTCATTCAACATCAAAAGTATAGCTATCATACACCACTCTCCAGACTGTACAGGTCATTTGTTGTTAATTCAGAAAACATATCAATTATTTTAAAAATAGAAATGAAGAAAATTTGAAGGGATATTAAGTGTCTCTGTGTAGGGAGAACACAGAACGACAGTGAGCTCCAAAGTAAGCATAAATAGAAGTGCTCAAGAATACTACAGGATCTGAACTGTCAGTTCTGCTGGCCTGGTCCAAGGATTCACACTAGGGTGCCTAAGTCCCAGACCAAGTTGCTGTTGGGAAGAAGATGATGGCATCAATTACATTAAAATCAAGTCATTAAACAGCTATGTCACTGAAATTAGGCAAGAGAATTTGCATGATCCTAACTTAGTCATCAGGCCAGTCTACAGCCCAGGGGCAGAAGACATTCAGCGCTGTCAGATCAAGCCTAGTTGGGAGGGAGGACCTGGGCATATTCGGAGGAGGGAATAGAAGAGCTCTCTTGAGGGGAAGGTACTGAAAGAAAGTGGAGGACCTGAGATGAAAGCTGTATACCCCAGCACTCACGGAGTTCAGTGAAGTAGCTGTCTTCCCACCCTAGGCTACAAGCCATGCTGGTTATTCTCACTCAAGACAGATCTTAGAATGCCAGGGTGGCAAACACCAGGAAGGACAATACCGTGGCAAGCTTAGCCACCTGTCAACCCATTCCCAGGTCAGCTCTGAACTGCAGGTCCAGGCAAACATGCATCCATGGGTCATGCCCTAGGAAGAGTCCTCAGAACTCTGGGGTCCTTTCTGGGGTTTCCAGATACTGACTTAGGAGTAAGCAAGCCAAATGCCTGCCCAAGCCTTCCTGAAATCAATCTTAAATCAGAATCACTGATCTGTGCTTGGCCAGAGCCCCGAACACAGGCAGGCTCCACATCAGGCCATCCCCAGGGCCACCTTCCCCACAGCCACAGGGCTGGGAACAGTGCTGCTCCAGCCACCCAATAAGAATGGAGGCATGCAGAGGTGTCACACCTGCCATGACGCCTTTGCATGTGCTGATGACAGTCCCTTCTAGAACTGTAGGTTAGTAAAAGATCCATTACTTAAATCTCACCCAAGTGGTCCTCACTGGTTACAGTTCTGGGAGGTGGGCCCCGGATAGCAGAAGCCCCTCACACATTGCCGCCCATCTACAAGATCACATGATAGCACATGATAGACAACTACACACTAAGCACTTCTGTTGGGTTTGTGCTTACTAGAGAAATACTGTGAACAGACATGGGGTAACATAACATCTTCTTTGTAAACCATTACAGGATGACAAATGCTCTTCAGTTCTTCAGCCTCTGGCCTGAGTGAGGACATCCTGCTCTTGTCCCCTTGACCCATCCCCAACTCACGCACATGCACACACACCACGCCCCACAGAAGTAGCACAAACAGAGCAGTTGTTTTCCCTCAACTCTGGCATCTCCAGATTCAAAGCCAGGGACAACCTCACCCTCCTGGTTCCCTCCTCTATAGACAGAAAGGTAGGGAAGCCGGCTCCCTAAGTCTCCCTTCCCTCTGCCTTCAGGTGGACTGTGGACTGTGTGGCCAGCCCCTGGCTCGGCTGAGCAGCCTTGTTCAACAGATCACTCTGCCTGTCCATCAGAGGGCTTAATCAGGTGCCCAGGCTCCAAACAAGCCTATTTCCGCTTACCTTCTGTGGATGCAGACATCATGGGGTCACCAGATCTGACTAAGAGGGTGCTGTCTTAATGAACTAAGGAAGACTGCCAATTCTCCAGTGATGACTAGTCCTTAACTAGGTGCAATTTTGCCACCAGGGAACACCTGGTAATGCCGGAAGACATCTTGCAGGGTGTATTTGGCATCTAGTGGGGATCCTGGGGTGCTGCTTGGCATCCTATGAAGAGTAAGCAGATCCCACATCACCAGTAATGAAACTGGCCATCCCTGAGGGGTAAGCGCTGCTTGCTCACTGATGTTACAGACTCAGTGCACTGGTCATTAATCAGGTTACAGGGTGACTAGGGACACACATGCACACAAGCAAGACATCAGCACCAATCATGACAAGGCTTTCTTGTCTCAAAGTCTATTCAGATCAACCTGTAAGTGAGGGAACGGCTGAGCTCTGCCCCATCTCCAATGGCTGAACTCCCAGCTGCCTGAGAGGGAAAATAGCTTGGCCATGTACTATCCTGCTGCGCCTCACACAGACCTGGAACTCAATTCTTGACAGCTTGCTCCCCCAGAAACGCTTCTCGGCAAATGCTTAGCTGTGATCTAATATTTCTGTAGAGTCTCAAAGTGATAAATGCCAGGGCGACAAGCCAAGGGTTACGTGAGGAAAGAGCAAACAGCACTCAGCACCACTTCTCCAGCAGCAGCTCTACAGTGGCCTCCAGGCCTACACCTGTGTGCATAGCACTCTGCCCTGTTAGCCCTCTTGGAGGTGAGGAAAGAGAAAAGGTGGGGGCACAGAGCAAGATTCCGGTGTCCCTAACCAGTCAGGAAAAGGGTGTCAGACAGACCACCCCAGCCCCTTTCCTGCACTGCAGGAGGAAGCCCTAGGCCCAAGGCTGAGGGAAGGGCAACTCTAAGGCTGACGCTGAAGTCAGCAGAGTCCACAGGGGCTGGGGCTGCTCCGCATGCCTGCTCCTTCCACTCTGGGAATGAGCCTTGGGCAACAACTGCAGACGGTCCTGCCTCAGGGGATGCTACCCGCCACTACCTACCTTCCAGTTGGTTCTTATCATGTGTTCCTTGGCGAGGCACTCTTGCAAGATGAGCTTCCAGCAGGAGTAGTCAGAGATTCTGTTCTGGGAAAGGTACCCCTCCTGTTGGCACAGCCGGTACCACAGCACCTCGTCCTCAGCAATCACCTTCCATGTCTTGCTCACCTACAACAGCACAAGTGACGCAAATGTCAAGATCTGCAATTAGAGAGGCCTTGCCATCCAAAATCAATCAACACCTATATCACAGCCCCAGGCTTATGGCAGCATAAAACATCTCATTAACAAAACACTCTGAGGTGGAAAAAATACGAGCAAATGTTTCTAGTTTTATCTTTCAAGACTTCAAAACTGTTATACCACTATGTAACGTCACATTTTAGATGGCGTGATAAACTATCATCTAACAAATGAAAGAGAAAAAAAAGCACCAATACACAAAATACTAAACAAACTTGTACTCATAACCATATAAGCACATAGAGCTTTCCAGAAGCGTCTATGGACAGCATTTGCATGACCATCTTACAGAGCAGGAGTCTGGGTGCCTGCACTGTGGAAAGCTTTAGTAAACTAAATTTCTGACAGTATAAAATTCAAACTTTTGCTTCATGGAGAACTCAAATGTATAGATTAAAGACTAGTAATAGTATCAATACAACACTTGAGCTGCTGAACAAGACACAGTAGATGATGGAGAAATGAGTGCTCCATCTGGCACAAATCTCAAATCCCAACAGTATCCAGAATGTTGTTTCCTAGCCTTATTAGGGGTACAAGCTTACTTCTTCACAGGACAATGTATAAAGCTGATAGAGCACAAAGCATGGACTCCCAGAGGCAAATGAGAAACTGACCCCCCCTCCCCCCCCCCAATCAACATAACCAGCCTGCAGCATGCACTGTGGATGCACGATGGAGGCTATGGTTGCTGCCATGCTGAGGCTCAAGTTCACTCCTGGCAAACAGAGGGGGCCAGAAGCTTCCAAGATCCTATGCTGATAATAATCCCCTGGGACCAGTCAGACTTCGGAGGAGGAGGAGGTGAGAGAACAGACTGAGGGGGACCAGCTGGGATGGGGGTGTGAAGATGTCTCAAAATCTGCTCCTCCATGGTGGCAATTAGAGCACTACCAAAAATGACAGTCGGGCTGAGGCTGTAGCTCAGGGGTAGAGTGCTTCCTGGTCGGGCTGGGACTGTAGCTCAGTGGTAGAGTACTTAGCATGTGTGAGTGCTGTGGGGAGGGGAGTGCAAAGGAGATGATAGGTCAGTGAGTCAGATGTATCAGTATGAGGACCTGAGTCTGGATCCTCAAGGCCCAGGTAAAGCTGGACACAGCAGCCTGCCTCCTATGGAAATGTGGGAGGTAAAAGAAAGACAGGAGAGGCCCTGGCATTGGAGGGCCAGCTAGCACACACACACAGTGGGGAACAGAGACCTTGTCCCTAGGCCAGTGAGAAGGCTCATTAGTGCTTACTGCACATGCTGACAACTTGAGTTTGATCCCTAGGACCCACAAGGTAAGAGAACTGACTCTACAAAATTGTCCTCTGACCTCTATTCACACTTACTGGGACATGTACACACTATACACACATACCATACAAACACCATACAAATACACAAACCATACACACATGCATGCCATACACATGCTTACCATACACACAAACACCACACATACCATATACACCATACACACATGCTCACCACACACACATGCTCACCATACACACATGTACAGCGCACACACATACTCACCACATACACATGCTCACCATACACACACGTACAGCATACACACACCCACAGCATACACACACCCATAGCATACACACACCTTACTATACACACACATGTTACCCACACTATGCAAATATGCACACCACATGCACACACCATACACAAAATAATTAAGTTATTTAAAAAGAGAAAGCCCCTGTCTTGAGGTGGAAGGTGAGGGCTGACACCTTGCATGCACCCACACTTAAACATGCATCAACAGAATTTTTTTTTTAACTTTTTAAGTACCTTGGTAAGTAATGAGAAGTTTGAAACCTTTTAAGGACCAAGTACTCAATAAATAAATAAGTAAAATAAAAATTTTAAAAAGGATGAAGGTATGGTGTGGTGGTACATGCTTTGTATCCCTACTGGGGTCCACAAGAGGCAGGCAGTTATATGTGAGTTCAAGACCAGGCTGGTCTACACAGTGAGTTCCAGGCTAGCCAGAACCACACTGTGAGAGCCTGCCTTTAAAAACAAAGAAAAAGAAATGCTGGACTTGTTAAGAGCTGTGAGGCAGTAGCCAATGAACCTGTGTTATCTCTTCCTCCATCTCCTAGACATTCATAACAGCTACACCAGCCAGCAACACTGGGGGTGGAAGCATGGGGCAGGACAGACAGGCTTCGAGCTCACCAAACCTAACTCCTAAAGAGCTGGCAGCAGCTGACCTGTCTAGCAGACTGCTGGAAAGCAGAAGCTTTATCTGCTGTCTCTTACCCGCAGGGAAGCTGTTCCAAGCCCTGAGTATTAAATAAGTTTAACACTGCCAGCCCAGCTCACACCCATACTCCCAGCACTCAGGAGGCTACAGCAGACTGCTGTAAGCTCAAGGCTAGCCTGGGCTATACAGTGAGTTAGGGCCTGCCAAAACAACATAGCAAGCTCTTATCTTTCTTTGTTTCTTGTTTTTCAAGCCCTTATCTTGAAGGAGAAAGAGTTGTGTTAATACTGCAGCCACTTGCTCTGTTGTTAGGACTGACAAGATGCCAACCAAACAGCTCAAGAAGCCACATGCATGGGTTGTGCTGGGCACTTAGGGAGAAAAAAATCTAAGAAAACTCTGACTTTTAGATTTCAGCTGGCCTTGAACCTCTGTATCAGCATGAAGGTGTAAGGCAGGCAGAGCTGTGACCTTCTGGGATGGGAAGGTGTGTCCCAACACACAATGGGCCCTCAACAGAGGCTGGAGGGTTACTGGCTCATGGCAGTTAAGAAGTCTCTACTCAAATTACTAGCCTAGTGAGACTTCAGTGGCCACAGCAGCATACAGACAATAGTTAGCCCACCTACTCCTTCTATGGGGACAGGAGCAACTATTTCAAATGTGATGTTTAAGCATAGGCTCTGCCACAGAGCCACTAAACGCCATTGTAAACAAAGCAGAATCAAGTATGAAACACAAGCATACATCACAGAAGACTCTAGCACAAGGCAAGACAGAAGCTTTAAGACACTGGGACAGCCAGCTCAGGAAGATGCCGAGTCAGGAGCTCACAGGAACATCAACAAAAAGTAACTGAAGAGGAGCAAGGAGGCAGAGCTGAAAGCAGACTAACTGTAGCAACAGTCACTAGAGGGCTCCCTGGCAAATCTGAGCAGGCAGAGGACCAGCCAGTAGGGTGAGATCATCCACTCTAGGGAAGAAAGGAAAAAGGTCTCAGAAACCCGGGGGCACCAATGGCCAAATGCACAAAATCTGCAAATACCAGGGACAGGAGCAGAGATCTGAAGTGACTGAATTATGGTGCACTGTAACCTGGGCAGCAGCAAGAGAAATGAAGGCAGGGTTGGTGGAGCACTCCTGCGATCCCAGCACTGGAGGCAGAGGCAGAAGAATCTCTGCATGTTCCAGACAGCCTGCTCTGCAGTGAGACCTTGCTCCAAAGCATCACAAATAATAATAGTGATATAATCATATGACAAAGTAACTGAAAACTATTAATAAAATGGCACATTAGAAAATGTTTAATCCAAGGCAATAATGAAGGAGTAGATGGACAAAAACTAAGAAGACTGGAGAGATGACTTGGCAAGTAAGAGCACTGGCTGCTCTTGCAGGGGACCTGGGTTCAATTCCCAGCACCCACACAGTAGCTCACAACTGTTTCTAACTCTAGCTCTAAGAGATCCAACACTGTCTTCTGAACTCCATGGGCACCAGGCACACAAGTGGTGTACATACATGCATGCAGGCAAATACTCATGCACATAAAATAAAAAATAAATCTAAAAGACTCTCAAGCTGGGTATAGTGGCCCTCAGGAGGCAGAGGCAGGTGGATCTCTGTGAGTTCAAGGCTAGCCTGATCTATAGCTCCAGGACAGCCAGGGCTACATAGTGAACCCCAGTCCCCCAAATACATGAACAATCAAAAAGAAGCTAAAACTTACAAAGTCAAAGGTGGTTGACATCTGTGAGCTGAGCCTATCTTAGCCCAAAGCAAGCCAAGCACCACTGACCAGGAAAACACTGGTGCAGCCGGCAGCTCAGCTTCACCACATCTGCTGTGAATGGACATGTCACAGCAGTCACTTCCTTACAGGCACAAGCATGTGGGATCCACAGCAAAAAGTCAGGCCAAATGACAAAGAAGTTGCACAGCACCTGTCACTCTTCTGAGCCAGTGACATGGGCTCAAGCTGAGAACCAAGAGGTGCTGTGTAGATCAATTAGGCACATCCCACTTCAAGAAGGCACCCCAGCATCCTTGGCTGGTGGGGGTTTGGGCAGTCTTGAGCACTCCCTTCGGTGCTGAGCTATCTCTCTCAACAGGGGCCTGCTTGAGTGTGCTTCCTTCCACCCTGCTAAACCACCTTGGTTGCCCCTTTTGAGGACACCAGTTCCCCACTCGCCTACCCACCCTGCAGTCCTCACCATACTCATCATTCTTTGACTGGACTAAGCTCTGTCCTTTCTCTTCCTTCAGTCCAGCCACTGTCACATGACTGGTTTCCATAGCTACCTCTCAGAATGCTACCTAATATTTGTGACTCTAGACTACCCTCTTTGCCTAGGTAGGCAAAACACAAGAGTCCCCCAACCCATGGGCTGTCAGGTGCCATGGGGTGTCAGGATCCTGAGATGGAGGCTTTGCTACTGTTCATGGTACCGATAACTGGCATTGGGCACATATGTAGTAAGTAGGCTGGTTTCTACCCCAAGCAGCAGCCCAGCCCTTAGACTGTGCTTTCTCAGGGTCAATGTGCTCAAGCCTCCAGAGCAGTTCAATTTACTAAATGTTAAAAGCAGACAATTTTTTTTTATGGACAGCTTCACACTCATGCCACCTACTTAAAATTCTTAAAATTCCAACTACTATGAATCTCTCAACGTTCTTTCCCATTTTTCCACCAGGAACTTCAAATTAGTATTCACC